TACCATAAAAAGTTCGTGGCGGTCTCACCCCCATAAAAAGTTGTAGGGGTTCAAAGTTAATAAATATGCCAATTTTTATACATTTCTAGGCATGTAAATATTTATATAGTCATTCTTAAACAATATTCAAAGGTAAAACTAATGAAAACTACATAAAAATATTGAGAAAGTTATATAAAACATTATTTAAATATCTTTATCAGTAGGGTAGTATAGGTTAGGTTATTGGGTTTTGTTTTGTTGTGACCACCCTCTTTCGATCCCCCACCTCCAGCCGCTTAAAAATATTTTTTTTATTGGATTTTATTTGAATTATTGTGTATGAAAATAATCAACTTTCAACTCCCATAACTTTTTATAGGGGTGAGACCGCCGCAAATTTTTTATGGAATTTTACTCAGATGACCACTCTCTTTCGATCCCCCCTACCCCCACCCCCATCTAACCCCCATAACTTTTTATGGGGGTGAGACCGCCACGAACTTTTTATGGTACAGTGGTGGGGGAGCCTCCTCTTTCGATCCCAACCCCCCCCCCCTTAGGGGTCATCATCTAGGCATTTACCAAATTTTCGGCTTCATTTTTGTTTCTACAACAAAGTCCGCAATAAAACTATCGCCTTGTTTCGATTTACTAAGTACAGAACGCCTACTTTTACTCACGACAGATTGTAAACATAGAAAAGAGATGTCACGTAGGAATTGCAGCGGACCCTAATGAAGAAAAAAGAATAACATAACACCAATTAATGTATAACAGAAAGAGATGCAAACAAGTAGAATTTGAGCATGTTGACAAGCATCGGACTTTAAAGAAAGTTTCACTTTCTCAGGAATTTAGGAAAGCAAAGATTTTTGTTTAAAGATCCAACTCCAACCAGGCAGTTTTAAAGCCGACCCTGATTTGTTGCATACCTAAACAACTTCTACACCACTTACTACACTCCCAAGTGAAAACAAGAAAAAAGATACGTCCATTCTCACAGACTTTGTAGCAATTTTAATCGTCCCAACTATAGATGTTAACTATTCATAGCGTGCTGTGATGCCTCTTTCGTAAGAGGATTGATCTAGCTGTATCCGTTATTGTCTCGCATGCATGTTTAATTAGCGTTGCGGGTTATCTGAGTCAGTCAAGACGAAAATTTGTAAATATTGCGGCTTGTTTCTGCGAACGTGCAGATAATCCGTTACTATGTTTAGCCGCGTCTCCTCGCAAGATAAGTTTACCGTAGTCGGGGTTGCTTTCTAAATCCCTTTTCTATGCTGTATGTACGTGGGAAATATCATTTGGTTGTAGGTTTAGACTAGAAGCAAGAGGGGGCTGTTTACGTTATGTTTACATACATGGTTACAAATTTAACTAAAGAAGGACCGTACGTGTTTGTCATGTTTATCGCCGGCTTCCACGCCAGGCTCTGCAATGACAAAAATAAGAATTCATTATGTCATATAAACAAGGAAACAATTTTGAGGCAATGAGCTTGTGTCCACTAGGAATAAATCGGATGAATTAGACTTTCTAATGATTAATCACGATATGGAGATAACAAAAAAATAAATTATTTGTTATAAAAAATAAATATGAAGATTGGAAAAACTTTGGCGTTGAGGTTTTGAGCTATTCTGTTTGTTCTATAAAAAAAATAAAGATTAACAATATTTTCAGACAATAAAATCAGCAAAATTAGGTTTTTAGTTAACAGTGAACACCGATCAGAAACTGTGACGTTACACCGTTCGAAACACCTAACAACCGTCGTGCATATACACATTTAAGACGCCGTGACAGTTTGAGTGTTTTCCTAGTAAATTTAAATCGGTTTTTGAAAACACAAAATACATAAAGTGTACGTTAGATTTTTTGTAAAAATACACATTTTTTGAATACCTAAGACAGATATTAATGTACAGTCTTAACCGATTTCTCAAATTTAGTCAACTAGACCGTTGTACGTAAAATATGATTATCAATGATAATACAAAGAATGCAGTTACACAGAACTAGCGATATTAAATTTTTCGAGTGTGAATATGAACCTCCTATTGAAATGGATACCTGTGGATCGGGAATGAGAAACGTCTCTATTCGAAGAGGGCCATGAATATTCAAATGAACATGGACGAAGGAGGTTCTCGTATGTGAAGAATGAATCGTTTTCAATAGATCGCACATTCAAATTTATGAGAACACTAGTAATATTACTTCGTAAAGGCGAAAATAGAGCCTTATCTTTCTCTGATCCATTTTTCGTTAGTTTCCGGTCTAAATTGAGTTTGAATGATTTGCTGTCAAAGTACTGGTAGCAACAAACGTTCTCAGTTGATTAAATCACTTTAAAAATAATTTAGAAACTACAGAAGAAACAGATGATCCTTGGAATAGTGATGAGTTTCTAATCCTCGTAGTTATACAACAATCGCAATAATATCTATACACTTATAAAGACCTTAGAAAAAGTAGGGAAAGAGCGAATGTAAAGATAGAAGACAAAGGATTAACAGAAGTCGATGATTTTAGGTATCTAGGAAGTCAAGATATGTTACAACGGAAGGACTAGTAGGGATATAAAGCAAAGAATAGCGAAGGGTCGAGTCGCCTTTAATAAAAAGAAGTCACTTCTGTGCTCGCGAATGATTAATTTAGAAATTCGAAAAAGATTGTTAAACGTGTATGTTTGGAGCGCGGTGCTGTACTGGTGCGAAACATAGATCGTGGGCGCGGTGGAAAAATTTAAAACGAAATGTGGTCCGCCTAATGATGAGGATACCGTGGATGGAGAAGGTTAGGAATGAAGAGGTATTAGAAAGAATAGGAGAACAGAGGACTCTATAGAAGTCAATAAAAAATAGGCAAGATAGGTTGATAGAACACCTTTTCAGGCATGAGAAAGAGACATATTAGAGGCAGTAACAGAAGTTAAGAGGAGTAGAGGTAAACCTGAATTAGATTACTGTTCGCAAATAGTTAAGGATGTGGAATGTTCTAAATTTAGGGAAATGCGAAGATAAGCTCAGGATAGGGAGGAGTGGAGGTACGTGTCCAACCAGTCTTAAAACTGACGACCTTATGATAATAAAGACCTTAATATTCTTGTGTCTTCACTTATTCATTTGGGCAAGTAGATACCTCAGTAAAGCCTTGTGATAGACTATGGAACACGATATAGTGTGAGTTACTTGATTGCAAATCGTAAGGAAACGATCTCGTACAACATTAAAAAAGTGTTCGCTGCTGGTAACAAAAAGGTGGGGGCGCAGGGGATGTAGGTAAATAATCGAATATTTGAAAGGAAACTAATCCAACCCTGATCCTAAGGTAGTTTAAGGAAGTTGGATTAGACCACCTACACTTAATGGAAGGCACCATGAGAAAAAAGTAAAACATGAATGTTTTAAATATATTAAAGCTGTGGGTACACTCTGCATGGTATATAATCATAGACATACCGGTAGCATACAGCATTTCTACCGGCGCTGTCGATTGACCAAAATTGGGTCAACCATCGAACTCGGACCAAACTGCTGGATAAACTTTTTACATTTAATCCATGTATATAATTACAGTATGAATACTTGGAATAAATTAGTCTCTCTGGTAGACTCTTCTTCTTCTGACTATTAGCCTCCCAAATAGACCATAGTCACATCATTATCCAGCTCCAGTCTCGCAAATAGACTTAAGGCCCCATATCAGTCGTTTCTAGGCAAATGAGATTTTTTGAGTCTTATTAAATGGATTATTCTTGATGTATACAAGTTAGAAGAGTAGTTGAAGTCTCAAATCAAAGCTCTCATTATAATCTAGAAGTACGAAGCGTATTTTTCGAATGCACTTTTCGTTTTTGTTTTATTTACAAGTAACTATAGTAACTATTGTACTCTTGAAAATGACCTTTTAGAAGTCGAAACAATTGTCGAGGAATAAACAGTTTTGTTGAAACATCTTTTCCTTTCTTTTCCTTCATTATTGAAAATGTTTCATCGAGAATACACCTTTGAAAGTTTAAAT